ACTAACATGACATATTTGTATAGTATTCATTACCTCCAGGTACAGATTAAGCATCTGATGTAGCCATACAAAGTGACATGCGTACATGAATCTTGGGCATAATAGTGAATAAACTGACATTACATTTGCAGTAATTTGTTTCAATATGTAAAACATGTTGTTGCCTACATTTGAAAGGACTTGTAGAATGTTGCAATGAAATTGGGGGAAAAATGTGTAGTTGAATAGCTTTCTCTATTATATAGATCTGACAGCTTCGTGAGGCCTCTTTGTAGGCTGCAGGTAACGTCATAAATATGCATGTTTGTTTTCAGCTGCACAAGAAGCAGCCCAGAAATAGAGATCTAAAAGCCTTTCAGACATTGGCTTGATTTACCCTAATGGTCTATAAGGTTAAAAAAAAAAAAAAATCCCCAAAACCCCAACCACCTAGCACAACCAACTTATTTAAAAAAAAAAATCATATAAATATTGAGTAATGTAGTATTCTAGTATTGTGAATGTGGGAGTATTTCTGTCAGACTGAGGCTTGTTAGAATAGACAGCATCAGTAGGCTGGCTTGTCACCCAAATAATATCACCTTCTTTCACTTTCTATTCTCTGGCCTAAATTAGGCACTTAGTTGTACAACCAAAACTGTCACAATTCTGACAAGATCTCTTCCTTCCCCCTTGCCGATGGGGTAGACCCAGGAAAGTGTTTGAGGACTCCACAATGTGTTAATGGCTTTTTAACCTGTTTTCCTCCTGTGAGACAGGAATGTGTTCTGTGTTTTACAGCTGGGAAACTCATGTACAGGGTACACTTAGATAACACCAACCTCAGTGTGACCACAGGTGACAGAGCTGGGGGTTGAACCTGGATGCTTTTGCTCCGATTCGCTAGGTGCTCTTACCACCTTTCAGCAACCTCTCTGCTGCACACAGCTGTAATTTTTCAGTGTTTGAAGATGTCGCTGAAAACTGTCTCGTGACTTTGCTTCCTTCTGCTGGTGGTATTTTTATAACGTGCAGCAGAGCTGCAATGACAGTTTGCTCTCTTGGGATCTTGACTCTGGGACTGGGATGTGTTTATGCCACACCAAAAATTGAAATGAGAACTTTGGCTTGTCTTTTAACATTTAACTGAACACTTTGCTCCCTTAAAGCACCCCCTGCCAAGCATTTACAATTTTGAATGTGATTGGTGTGAAGCTACTGAACTTGAGAAGGGAGCATGTACTCTGCCAGGAACAGCTCACTGAGCCTGACCCGAACTTGGTGGGAAGGAAGGTGTCTGCTGACCCCTCTGAGCTTTGTATCGGGGCCTGTAGACTAGCTCTGAGAAACTTTGATATCCTTGTCGGTACCTGTGATCCAGACTTGTAGATCACATGCTCCAGATACCTTGGAGACTAGGAATCAGGTGGTGGTGGTAGCTCAGGTAAAGGAAGACCCTTGTCATGAGCTGTGGCTCTGTATCAACTTCACTCTTGCCTTTTCAGAGAGAGTTGGTATTTAATTCTTGGTCCAGCCACTGGAGAGAGCCCTAGAGATCTTAAAAGAGGTTTCAGGAGCAACCTCTCAACAAAACTAGCTGCACAACAGGCGTGGGACTACAGAAGGACCTCCACAGTGTCTTCTGCTGTCAAGATCAGTGAGAGAACTGATCTCTGTCAGCTGCATGTAAAAGGCTCTGAGGATCAAGAAGGGGTGACGGCGTGTTGCTTTGGCAAAGCTGCTGATTTGGCTTGACTCTGAGGATAGGCCAAAAGCAGGACAGCAGCTGTTGTGGCCTCCTGGGGCTGGTTTTAAGGCAGCTGGTGGTCTCGGTACTGTGAAGGGTGGTTTCCAGTGGTACAGAGCCACATTGCAGCAGTGCCTTACCTGGCTTACGAACAGAGTCTGTCAGCTGTTGATACTGAGGTTGACTGGTAGTGTTTATGCTGGTAGTTATCCCTCCCAGGCTGCATGTACTCTGTGTTGTTTCTCTTTCGGAAGGAAAGCAGGGTGCTGGGGGTTCAGTGAAAGGCAGGAACTTCAGGATACGGCTGATGTTGTCCAGTCTCCCCTGGAATGTTTCCAATTAAAAAAAAAAAAAGAAAATGAAAAAAGACAAAATGCAGTTGCTAGTTAAGGCACTAATAAATAGATGTTGCAGAAGGGGGGTGCAGGCTGGTTGCAGTACCCTTTACCAGAATTGGTTCTGTAGGGATGCATTTTATATTCACTTATCTTTGTACTTGTCTGTGGCCTGGTTGAAAAGCAGCAGTTTTCACTTCTCCTCAGAACAGGCTTACAAAGCTGTCTTAGGGTAGGCTGAAGACTTCTGCAGTGAAGAAACCACCAAAATAGCAAGATGCAAGCGGTTGCTGCCCAACTGGGAGCAATGTAATAGAGATGTCTGGGAGCAAGGAGTGGGCTGGTGTTGTCCTAATCAGGGTATTTAAGGTCTCAAAAGCAGCGTGGGGAGCTTCTATGCAGGAAGGGGTATATGAGATGTAAAGGAGAGGACTGCTGACTGTTGCCTAGGGCCAGACAAGGCTGACTTGCTGCCCAACAGGCGCTTGCTCAAGAGGAGGCTCTGAGAGCTGAGCACCAGAGGACCCTCCCCTAAAGTGTCCCTTGTGTCAGCTGGAGGGCTCAGAGTTGGGCACTTCTTAAATAAGGTCTTGGGCATTAACAGAGGTGCCTGTGATGGTTCATTGTGATGCACAGATGGCATCTTAATTTCAAGTGTTTTCACTTTTTGTTTATTACAAAAAGACAAGCAGTACACCCTCTACTGCTTGGTCCAAAGCAGCTATGGAGGACAGTAGCTAAAAGAAGTTAGTGCTCATCCCCGTGTAAACTTAGTTCAGAGTGAGTTTCCCCAGTGCAGTCCCAGTCTAGACTGGAATGACCTAGGCTGTCTGTTGGCTTCTTTAATTTTAAACCATCATGCACTTTGAGGGAAGGACTTTTTCTTTTAACTTGGATGTGGTAGCAGCTGCTGGTTTAACTATGTTCAGTAACTAGTCAAAGAGCCCTGGCCCCTGAAATGCTGTACTCAGTAGCTCTGATAAGCCAGTGTGATGCTACATAAAACTTGGAAGTATGACCTGGCTGTCTTAGCAAACAGGAGTCTGGGATAAGCTTTGCCTTTGGATGTGATATTACAGCATAACATCGCTTTACGTCTCTGCACTGGGCGTGATGGGTAAGAAGTTAAGAATAAACAAATCCATAACTCTGTCTCAAACGCAGGCGGCTTGATGTTTCTGCCCTATTGTAGCATCTTGCAGTTCCAACAGCTTCGGAAGCAGGCTGGGGGATTTGTGCTATCTGCCTTCTTTTTGTAAGGGAGTGAACAGGATTGAGGTGGCTTTGGTGTCTTTTTAAAGGTAAGACTTCTAGTCTAATGACTATTTAGTGAGAAAATACTTTCACCTCAATAAAGTTCTTTGAATTATAAAGGGCATTGCTGTTGGGTTACTGAAAACCCTTGGGGTTTGTTTCATTTATAACATTGCCTCAGGCCTTCTGCTGCATCCTGTTGGATTGACCTCCTTTTCAACCCGTGCTGGCAGCTGCATTGCAGAGCTATCTTTTCCCTGGATCCTTCAGGGTTGTCATATGACAAACTTGAACTGTGACCCTTTTGTGTCTTACCAGGACAGCAGTGCCCGCTCTGTGCGATGTGGCCAGCAGTCTTCCCCACGCACGCATTTGTTCCAAGCCATTTAACAAACTGAAAGTTTAAAATGATGGCATTTCATAGTGTTTAATAGTATCGACTGTAAAGCAAATGAAATGGTGCTGAATACCCTGCATGCTGCTAGTAAGAAATACAGTTTCCATTTCTGCAATATGCCCTGGGTTTTCTGTGGTTAGTGTGTGCTCTCTGGTGAATCTCTTTACTTTTTAAATAAATTTCAATGCTTCCCCCTCTAACAACAGTAGCATTCACTGCTATAGATATTCCAGCACTGGTATTTGTTTCTAATATATGGGGGTTTTAACCAGATTTCTCTAAGCAAAGTGGGCAAAGTCATTTTGCTGAAGTCTTGCAGAGAGTATTAGGGTAAGAATTGATATAGTTAACATGGCATCCAAGCAACACCATCTCCAAGTGGTGTTGATGCTGGCAGGCATTGCCTTGCTGAAGTTACAGAGACTGAGCACTCGTATTTGTACAAATTGCATTCATTACCAAGAACCCTCCAGTAGTGATAAGAGACTGGCTGTGTAGCATAGATTGGCTCCAAGATAAGTAGCCAGTCTATTGTGCAGCTCATGGTAATCTTCCTCCTCCCCGCCCCTAATAATAAATCTTGGGGCATTTTGGAATGCGTGGGGGTTGCTCATTCCAGTAGCCTGAATGTATAACTACTAAACATCATCAGCTCCTACCAATTGTGCTTTCATAACCAAGCGAGGCAGCCGACTGAGATGGATATGCTCATATACAGTGTTCTGAACACGCAGATGCTTCGACTGTGTGTATTTGTTGCTCCCTTAAAGGACAATTCACAGGTGATGGCCAGGGTAAGAGTTTCTCCTGGCTGTGTTTCAAGGCTAGAGCCCGCTCGCAATGATGGTTTTCTTCAAGAAGAGATGTGAACATCTGGAAGTTGGGGGTTTGCACATGGGAGTAAGAGCCATGCACAACCTGAGGCTCTGCATAGGAACTGCGGTAGTACCTTCTTCGTAGTTAGCTTGTCCTGTCTCAGTGCAAGTGTCTATGTAGTATGACTTCAGTGAAATGGCAGTTATTTATCTTACCATAATAATATAGTTTTAAAGAAAGATAGAATTTTCTGGTTGCTTTGACTGAAATAAACCACCAACTGGCAAGTGCTTGCTTTGTCTTTTAAAGTATCTAATGTGCAAGAACTTCTGGATTGCTAGTTTTCAAGATGTAAAGCTGAATATCAGCAGGCTAGTTTTATGCAAGTAGACAGTATAATCCAACCAGTTCGGTTAAAAACTTGTCTTTACATGGAATTCTAATATTTTTTCTCTCTCCCTCCCCCATTCAGGGTTTGAATGGCAATGGAATTGCTCCTGGATCATCAGGTTTTAGCCTTACGAAACAGCTGCTCTGTCCAAGAATAACCCGCGTCTGTCTCAGGGACTTGATATTCTGCATGGAACAAGAGAGGGAGATGAAGCATTCTCTAACCTTGTACCGTGCTCTTCTGAAATGATTTGAATTTTACATTTCACCTTGCTGTCTACTGCCAAAGAAAACACTGAAGCATTGTTGCACTGTCTTGAAATTCCAATTTCTGGAAAATGATCCGTTGTAAGGATAACTCTTGTTTACAGATAAACATTTTTATTAAATACCTAACTTAGCACCTGTAGGGTTTTTAATAATGTTTGGTTTAAACCAGTCTGTAAACCAGTGAAAACACTGAGCTACACACACAAGTACCTGACTACCTGCTTGCATTTAACTGTCTTGCAGGCTCTGAGGGCTTGATATGTGTCCCCAGTTTATGTATGTCGCTTGCTTCAGTACTCCAGAGCCTGCAACATCTGTTCTATGTGTAGTGCCTTCTTCTAATCCAATCTTATTTAGGGGAACCAATAACACTTTAAAGGCACTGCATAGAATGGCAACTGTATTTAATCATGAACCAGCAGTCAGTCAACATGCTAATGTATTGCCTATCTGACTCAGCATCTCCTTAAATTTTCTGGGGTTAGAATTACTACTGGATGCTCATTTGTGAAAGCAAAGTAGCAAGTGAAAGGAATGAGGGGTGCTTTCCCCCCCCAAACCTTGCCTCAACTGCCCTCCCCCTTTCCTCTGAGAAAGTGACTGAGGGAAGGAGAACAAATCAATGGTTCTTGTGATTGAAGTACATCAGACAGTGTAGTTAGGGTATACTTTGATGTTCAGGGAAAGTCTGGTGTTACTAAACTTGGAATACAAGGAGCGCAAGAGCCTAAAAAGGAAGGGTGAACAGAAGAAACAGTTTATCTTTCTGCAGATAAAAAAATAGCATTGAACTTGAGCATAGATGTAGATGAAATGGACAAAAGCAACCTGTGCTGACTGCAAAAAAGGGAGAACCTGGGAGGCATTGAAACTTTGCAGCTGCAGACTCTCTTAAGGAGAAGCAGTGTTTGCAAAGCGCAGGATTCACAGCTTTATTTAGAATATTGATTTAATACCTTAATATGGTATAACAGGGAAACTTCCCAAATAGAAAGTATTTAGACAGTTGCCTGGTTTCCATTCAGTGAGGAGAACGACTCTGGACTATTAAGACTGCTAGAATAGATTCAAAGATTTTCTACTTGCTGGTAAAGACTGCCTTGTGGTGGAAGGAAAACCCTCTGAGTCACTCTTCTCCCCAGCCTCCAAACATTTTGCCTCCCGTGACACAGTGCTGTATAGCATGGCCGTTTCCCAGGACTGGTGGGAAAGGCACTGACTGTATTGAATGGCTTCCTGCTGAAACTTTTTTTCTTTTAAGGAACAAGCTTCCTATGGTTATTTGGCATGCTACTTCAGAACTTGAAGCGATGATTCAAATGCCCTCCACTGTTAGAACCACTGCAGATAGTTACCAAATTCAGTAAGTTTTGAATCGGTTATGGGTTTTTTGTTGGAACAGTAGTAAACAACTCTAGTACATGAATGCTGTAAATTATTTATATATGTGTATATAGCATATATATATATATATATATAAGAAAAGCAGTACTTTGACTAAGCTATAGTTTGCAAGATATTGATGGCATCAGGCAAAATTGTTTTGTATAATTAAATGCTTAGCTTTACTTTTTATGTAAAGTGCAGCATTTTCCATATTTGTGTACTGTTATTGATCAGATGTTTAAAATTATTTTAAATACTGCATTAAAGCAATTATTTTATTAAAAATAATAAATCGGTAACTTTGTTTCCTAACATGAGAAATTCAGCGTCTGAAGCTGTCATCACCATGACTAATGGCGTGCCTCTGAGAGCGAGCCCCGGCTATCTGCCCATCACAGTAATTGGCATGGTTGCCTCACGTGACGTATTAACGATAAACATCTATATTTTAAGGTTTTTAAACAGAACTAGGTGACAGAGCAAAGGATTACTTGAAGGAGGGGGTGGGCAGGGAGAAAAAGCAACTTCTCATTTGTCTGATTTCCCCCAGTCAGTCAGCACAGAGGCTGGGGCGGGGGGGGGGTGTTTTATTTTTTTTAACAGCTGGGCACAGGTGAGCACTTTGCATGTGTTCTGGGAAGTAAAAACACGGGAACAGTCTCAGACTTCAGCAATGTGCAGTGGAAGCATTGTCCTCAATTATTTTTAAAGCAACTCACAATTAATTAAGTGCAGGTTGGAGACCAAAGACGAGCATCTGCATATTGGCCTGCCTCTTCATCTTATTTAAACCAATGTGATACTAAAATGAAAGGTGCTGGAGAAAATAGCTGAATTGATAAATAGATACAAATAAAGTACCATAGACAATTCAAGTGTTCTATGGCCTGCCTATGATGCAGATTGCATGATTTCATTGCTGCCGTAGCAAGTAGTCTCTTTTACCAGTAGTTCTTCCCTGTGTGCCACCTCTTCCCCCTCAAAACACACCCCAACCCCCAAAATTTATCCTGTAAGGAGTAGCAGGCGTTTTCAGAAAGGTTTTTCAGCAGATCTTTGGGCCTAGTTTCAGACAGGGACAGACAAGACCTTGGTGCAAAGACTAAAAATACTTGCCTCCCTCCCAAGGGTTCAGCCTGCCACTCATTCGAGCTCAGCTTTGCTTCTGAGAAGAACAAGTGTCCTCTAAAGTGGCACTTAGGAGACACTTGGGCTTCGCTCAGCCACACCAGGAGTTAAAGGAGAGATGACCAGGCGTTCACTTCCCCCCTTTTCCCCAACCTTGCTGCCCTTTATGAGAATAATAAAATCCCAGTAATAAGGTGATGAGGACAAACCCTGCCATCATGTTCCCTTGCCTCTTAGTTCTCGGCATGCTCCTGTTCAAGCTTGGGAACCTAGCAGCAGAGCCGTCTATGCCACCGATTCTGTGAGGGGTCTAAAGCTTGCTCCAGGCGCTTCTTGCTGTCCAGATGGCCTGCTAGCCTAGTGGCTATTTCTGATGCACTGAGCTGTCTGGGCAGCTATCCCTGCCACTCAAGTATTCAGCCTTTAGAGAAAACTGTGTACACAGTTGTGGGGGGAAAGCTGTTGTTGCTGCCTCTTGACTACTACTCTCTTAGCAGCATAGTATGCCAAGTTTTGTACGTTACATGGTGACAAAAGGGGCCCTGCACTCTTTCTCCTCCAGCTGTTGCTTTTTCCCTTTATTGCTATTTCAAGTCTTGCCACTGAATCCAGCCCTTTGCACTGTCTTTGACTCCAGCTTTTCCCTTCTCCCCCTGGGAAAGACTAGCCGAGTGCACTAACACACCCTGCAGCTTTGTTCAAGGTTTAATGAGGAAGGTAGCAGGGGCCCGTGAGACGTTGCTAGATGATTCCTCAAAGCCATTGCACTGTCTTGGACACTTTGACACGAGTAGCTTAAGGCTACTGTTTGCATCAAGTTGTTCCAGGCCCACTCTCTTGTAGGCACCTGTGTCCTGCCATGTGAGTGCACTGCACTCGGCAAAAATGCTGTCAGCTGTTCTCCAGGTTCATCTCTGCTCTGTTCTTTGCTTTCCTCTTCATTTGTAATCACTGGGGTGAAGGAGGAAAGACTAAAGCAAGCGAGGATGCCCTGAAGGGGCAGACAGTCCAAGTGATTGGACTTGGTGAAATGGGCTTGCTCCCAGCGACTTTTCAAATGAGGGTTGCTGGGTTTCTGAGGCCAAGTGCTGCACACACTTCCCTCTTCACGTAGCACACGTGATGTCTACAGATACTCCAAGAGTTGGATCCAGCCGTTGTTATCCAAAGTCCCATGGCTGTAGCCTGCGGCTCTGGAGATAACCGCAGTGAAGGCTTTTACTCCTTTGATGAGTGCAAAATCGAGTACCAAGACTGAAGAACAGAGCACACCGCACCTCTCTGTTTTGCCACTTTGGGTACTGGGTTCATTACTGCCTGTCAGTGGCTTGTCCCACCTTCATTTGGTAGAAAGGCTGCCTATCTGCAGGCCACAATGCCAGTGCTCCACTTGGTGCAGGGCTTTTGTGAGCTAGATGAGCACCCCTTTTGGCTTTGTAACACTTTGAAGGCATAAGCAAGAAACCTTGTCTTTTCCTTCCAGATACATCAGTCCTTGTTCCTACCACTTCTTCTTTCCTCTTTTACTGCAGGAATGAGCTGGTCACTCCTCGCCTGCTTTCTGTAGCTATTCTGGCGTGTTAGCTGCTAACTTTGCTACCCCGTCTTTCCTCAGGATCCCCTGCTTCACATTTTGCAGGGTGCCTCCAGTCAGCCTTCTTCTGAAAGGGTTTTTGCTGTGGAGGAGGGAGGAAAAGGAGGATCTCCATCCAGGACTTGAAAGTTGAATGGCTGTTCTGGAGTGGAAGGAGGTGGTGGTGCAGGTCAGCTCACGTCAGCCCTGAGGCTGCTACTTTCTGTGCAGGGAGCACATTCTCGCAGGAAGTTTGTGTTTCATGGTGGCCAAGACTTCTGCCATTAAGTCCTGCTTTGGTCAAGAGTTTTCTACAAGGTCCTTGCAGCAGTAGGTACTTCCCACCTTCCAAGGGATGTTTGTTTCCCTGGCAGAGCTACCTAAAGTTCCAGCCAGAGACCCCATCAGAGACAGTCATCTGTTCTTTTCCCCAACCTCCCATCCCACAGTCCTGCAGCTCTTCCAGGTATCTCCTCTTCAGTCCATTTCTGTCTCAGAAGTAGGAAAGGGTATGGAGCCGTGTCTCACATGATTGAGGTGGACATTGGGTGGTATCAAGACCTGCGTTGAAGCCCCAGGGGGTGACCAGTATGCATTTCTCTGGAGCTCTGCCCATCGGTACTGTCGCTGAAAGACTGCCTCCCCTGGGGCTGTGCCCTGAGGGGAGGGAGCAAAGGTGAGGGTCTTCTGCATGGGTACTGCGAAGGCAAAAAAGTCGTTTTCATCTCAGCAGCTTGGCATGCATGCTCCCGCTCCACAGGCTTTACTTGAAGAACTGCAGTTATCGGTAAGCAGTTACTCTCTCTGCCAGATCACAGGGAATATTATTTTTAAATCTATTCAGAATGAAAAATTATCTGACAGATCATCTGTATCTGGTTTTGAGAGCTAATTCATGATTTTGTGTAGTTCCCCAAGCGTCTTGAGATATTTGCACTTCCGCTTTGAAGTGTTGAGCATGACGGGGTTTATTATTTACAGTTATTTGGAGGTGTTTCTTATTTCTGTCCTTAGAAGCCTGAAGGGAGG